TCTCTTTCTCTCTCTCTCCTCTCTATCACCCACACTAATTTCTGTTAGAATTCATTTGAAAAATGAGATCACCTACTACTACGTGCCAAGCACTATCCTAGACCCTAGAAATACACAATAAACAAAAGATGTAACTCCTGCATAAGTTTGTTTTCAAAGTCCCGTGGTAGAATTGCACTGAAGCTTCTGTTTTTAGCCAGGGTCTCCTTTTGTAGGGCTCTCGTCCAGCTGTACTGGAATACTAAGGCACAGTGGCTTGACTAAAATATCCAAGGCCAGCTTTGTAACAGACTTGAAAGAAAGCCAGAGCCCAGGGAAAGCGGGGTATCTTACTTTCATTTCCCATTGTGACAGCTCCTGTGTTGAGGACAACCCAAACCTCACTGAGATTTGGTCCCTTGAAAGACAGAACTAATCATTCTGGGACTTCTCCTTCCTGCAGATGAGCGTGATCTCGAAGATTTCCTGCTCGACTTTGAGGAAGACCTGAAAGCCCTTCACTCGGTGCAGTGTTCACCTTCCCCAGGTGAGAGGTTTTAGAACTGGGTCTGCACCTCAGCAGGCATGAGTGACCCTGAGGCCTCTCAGAAGCCACTGCGCTGCTGCCCAGCACACTTGCCACAGGGACCTCCACAATGTAAATAAGTGTTCATTCCCTAGAGTGGCTTTCCATGCAGTGCCAAGGTAGGCTTTTCATTCAGATTAATAGAAACTAGGGGGCTTGCCGGTTAGCTCAGTTATTTAAGCACCTGTTCATGCAAATGCAGTCTGGCACAGGATACCGCGGTTCGATCCCCACTTCCACTTACATTACCTGACACGCCCTTAAGGCAGTCTGAGCCAGCCAAAAACAGAAAAAAGAAAAGAAAAAAAGTCATTCTCAGATTAACAGAAACTAAGGAATCAGGCATGTAGTTAAAGGTGTATGCAATTGTTAAAACAATATTCGCAATTGAGCCTGAACTAGGATGCCATTCAGTATTGATTTATGTAATCACTGAATTATTTATTTTCTGGAAATTTATTTATTTTCTGGAAATAACTAGTGAAAACAAATAATAGATTGTATAGATACATTAAAAGGAAGAAAAATGGAAGCAAGCAAAAAACAAAAGAAAGAAAGACAGACTACTGAATTCACTTAGTTGTACCATTCTCAGAAACAAAATGAAGAAAATAGTTGAGAATAGTTAATATTTATATTTGAAAATTAGATTGTTCTATGTGTTAGAGGGTTGGTTTGTTTGTTTAATTTATGTATTGGGTACAGGGTCTCGCTGCGCAGCTCAGACTCATAGTGATCCTCCTGTCTCATTCCCCAGTGCTAGGATTACAGGCACACGCCACCACGCCAGGTCTCTGTGGCCAACTCAGTGCTCCTGGGGACAGAGCCAGCGCAGGTGGTGCTGGAGATGAAACTCAGGTCCTTGCCCTTGCCAGCCAGGCAGGTGCTTAGACTGCCGAGCTATCTCCCCAGCCCTGCCTGTGTTAGAGTTCTGTTACTGTAACAAAATAATAAACTTTAAAATAGAAAAGACTTATTTTGGCTTGCAGCTTTGAGGTCTTAGTGCACGGCCAATGGACCATGTTGGCAGTGCCATGTATCATAACAAGAACATAGGAAGGAGGATTTGTTTACTTGGGGCTGGGGAGATGGCTGTTTACTACTGGCAGCAAAGAAGCAAAGAAACAGGAGGAGAGGGCAGAGCCGAGCCATCCCCTTCTGGGTCCCACCTCCGAGGATCTAACTTCATTCCTCTGGGTCCCACCTGCTAAAGGTCCCATCACCTCCCAGAAAGGCCACAGGTTGGGGACCAATCCTTCACCATGTGGGTCTCTAGGGGACATTTATGATCCAAGAAGAAAAAAAAAGTTCCAAAAGATAGCACTCTTTAGCAGCAAATGTTAATGTAAAACAAAGAAATGAAGATGAGATTCTCCTGACACATGCACTCATAATACCTGGATTTTGTTTTCTAATGTTATGGGATATTTTCCTAGGCTTCTCTTCTGCCTCTGAAGCCTCATTGAAGAGTTCTATAGACATAATGGAAAACCTAGGCGATCTGACTTTTTATGTGAGCCTGATGCTGTAGTGCTTCAGAGATAATAAATAATCCAGCAACAGAAAATCCCCTTTCTTTTCTCTGAGCATCAGTGTGCTCACCCTGCCTGGGATGCAAGCACCCCAGGGTGATGCTTGGTGGTGCACAAAAGCAGCACATGCCGCAGGCCACCGTGGGTCATGAGAGCGGCCCCTGCCTCCATCTCCTAGAGTCCTACAGAAGAAACAAAAGGGCAAAGCGGCAAAAGTCGCTATTCCTAATTTGACCCAGTTTTTCGCCTTTGGATTTTCAGGCCCCTTCAAGCCCTGTGACCATCTGTTCGGTAGCTGGCTGATCCGAATCGGAGTGTGGACCATAGCAGTTCTGGCACTTTCTTGTAACGCCGTGGTGACCTCGACGGTGTTCAGATCCTCTCTGTATATTTCCTCCATAAAACTGTTAATTGGAGTCATTGCGGTGGCGAACATGCTTGTGGGCGTCTCCAGCATGGTACTGGCCGGCGTGGATGTTGTCACCTTTGGCAGCTTCGCGCAACATGGTGCATGGTGGGAGAACGGCATCGGCTGCCAAGTAATAGGCTTCGTGTCCATCTTTGCTTCAGAGTCATCTGTTTTCCTGCTTACTCTGGCAGCACTGGAGCGTGGGTTCTCTGTAAAGTGTTCCACAAAATTTGAAATGAAAACTCCTTTCTCTACCCTGAAAGCGATCATTCTGCTCTGTGTTCTGCTGGCTCTGACCATTGCCCTGGTTCCCGTGCTGGGTGGCAGTGAATACAGCGCCTCCCCACTCTGCCTGCCCCTGCCCTTCGGGGAGCCGAGCACCACCGGCTACACGGTAGCTCTGGTCCTGCTCAACTCTCTCTGCTTCCTCATCATGACCATTGTCTACACCAAGCTCTACTGCAACTTGGAGAAGGGCGACCTGGAGAACATTTGGGACTGCTCCATGGTGAAGCACATTGCCCTGCTGCTGTTTACCAACTGTATTCTCTACTGCCCTGTCGCTTTCTTGTCCTTCTCTTCTCTGCTGAATCTCACATTCATCAGCCCTGACATAATTAAGTTTATCCTGCTAGTGATCGTCCCACTTCCCTCGTGTCTCAATCCTCTTCTCTACATCCTCTTCAATCCCCATTTTAAGGAGGACCTGGGGAGTATGGGGAAGCAAACCCACTTTTGGATGAGATCCAAACACCCAAGCCTGATGTCTATTGATTCTGACGATGTTGAAAAACAGTCTTGTGACTCAACCCAAGCCTTGGTGACCTTTCCAAGTGCTAGCATAACCTATGACCTGTCTTCTAATTCCGGGACACCACCAGCTTATCCCATGACCGAAAGCTGTCATCTTTCCTCTGTGGCATTTGTCCCGTGTCTCTAAATGATAGGGGAGGGCAAAAGTTTTCAAAAATTAGAAACCTGAAAATGTGAGACTGAGAACATCAGCGCAGTAGCTAAGATGATCAAGTTGAAACTTGGTTTACCAGCCAAAAGTCCTCTCTCAATGTGAAAAGGCTGAAACCTAGTGATACTTGAGAGTGAATTATAAGTCTAAATGCTGCTTGTATAATTCGTTCAGCTAACATGAATAGATCAGTCATATGGTGTATATCACCCCAGATCCAAAAAGCATACTGCAATGTTCTTCAAAAAAAAAGATGCTCCATGACTAATTCCATTCTCCCCAAGCTCACCAGTGTAATCGTGTAGGGTGGGGGAACTCACTTCCAAAATGGGTTTATTTAAACCTCCAAATTCCTTAAAATGTGGTTAGTCATTAAGAAAGTATAGGTTTTAAAGGGTCTACATTACTAAGTGAAGGTTGTAACCCAGGAGATTTCATTTTAATGACCACATGGAGATGTTTTCATCTTCTGCTGCCTTGCCCTGAAAAGAATTCAAGTCACCATATTGTTAATGAGTAAAGAATGTAAGGCACTAGTAACCCATTCAGATGCATATCATTTTTAGAGATACTGGGTTTTATGAATCAGCACTCAATGGTTCCACATGCACCACCCACCCCCCAGTGGAATAAAACTGGTTACAAATATTTTGAAAGGAAAATCAATAGAGGGCCTGGGGAGATAACTCAGTAGAATAAGAGCTTACCTGGCAAGCTCAGGGTCCTGAGTTCAATCCCCAGTACTGCAAAGAAAAAAAGAAAGAAAAGAAAATCAATAGAAATTCCTAAGTCACTACTAAGGCAATCATGTACAAGTGATCTTTGTCTTGTCTCATTCATTTCTGACTCTTGCAGTCCGAAGCTCAGAAGGAAAGTTCGTTGCTGGCAATGGACATAACCTAGAAAAGGTAGTAATCAGTATCGGAGATCTCATTCCTGAGTGAGTGCACATTGTTTGCAAGAGGTTTTGTTGTCAATTCAAACTGATGCATATCTCAAGATAATGATCAAATATGGATACAACAGAAATTAGGTCCACTGATGTAACTTCTCATACATGTATCTCTAGAATTTTAGCAAACACTTTGGACTTAGCAGGACTTGGTAACATACATACTATCCTGTTTATTTAGCTTGGTGTTAGTTGTGCTTTTCTGGATAAACCACCTGATAGGAGAACTATGACTTCTCTGCTTATTCCGTATCAATACATGTGTTAGATATTTTAAAAGACAAATTAGTAAAAATGAAAAGTCAAAGGATTGATTCATAACTTTTATTATCCTATGTTAGCTTTGTTACACCCAAACAAAAAGGCTGTTAGGTAGATTTATTTTTATATAAGCATGTTTATTTTGATCAAATGTTTTAACTTGGAATTTAAAAAATACATTTATGAGATGTTTTATAAGATGTGTAAATATAGAACTGTATTTATTACAGTAAAGATTCAGTAACATTAAAGATAATAATAAACCATGTACAGTGGCATAGTCTTCCATATATATTGTGCTTCTTTGCCTGTTTTCTTTAAATACATTAATTGTATACATGTAAATATATAGTTCTTGTAAATAGGTTCCAAATCTGCTTTTATATTGGGTACAAAATAAATTTGTAATAAAATGTGTGACTATAAAAAAAAATACTTTGATGTCTATTTATTGAGACCACGGGCAGATATATAGTCTCCGAATGAACATTTTTGGTGTTTACATTTGCTATAGAAATATTTGTATTCTACTACTTATATATTGGGCTTATATTAAGAAATAAATCTTTCATAATAATAAATCAAAATATCTTTGTCAACTCTTAGATTATTTTAACTATTATTGGTAAGTTATTTTTCCATGACATTCATAAAGGTTATTGTCCCCATTGATAGTTTGGGTTTTATAACCAGAACCTCCCAGACTTCTTTTGCAATGGAAGCAGAAAACCACACAGTCAGAAAAAAAGATGCATGATGAGCCAATTACTCAGCATGGACAAGAGATTCTATAAATGCTTCCTTTAATGCAAACGCATTTCATGATCACGTCAAGGCCAAGGTAGGAGGACTGTGATTCCTACAGCACGAAGGCATTGTTCCTATTTGGTTTCCATCACCCAAGGCACGATATGAAATCATTTCCCTACACCTGAAGCAGCTCCAGCAGTGATTTCTGCTCTTCCTGTTGGAAAATGCCAACCTGTTACAACCAGCCTGTTTGCAGCTCATCCCCAGAGAAAACAGTGTCCCCCTCAGTTGGGTTTTCACCCCCCCATGACCCAGCATTGCTTCCCACCTATCCTTCAGCCTTAACCACACACTTTAGCTAAGACCAGTTAACAGGTAAACCCAGTTAATGGGTAAACCTAGATAACAGGCAATCTCAGTTAAGAGATTAGTCAACAGGTAAGTTTAGTTAAAAGGTATACCTGGTTAACAGGTAAACCTAGTTAACAGATAAGCTTAGTTAACAGGTAAAGCTAGTTAACAGGGAAGCCTAGTTAACAGGGTTTCACAGGTAGAGTCCGTGATGGCTCATTCCTTTTATCTCACTTCTCTTAACCCAGGCCGCAGACACAGAAGCTGCCCCAGAGAATGTATCCAAGTGATTTTTTTCTTAACGTATTTGTTTTGGGGTGCAAGGCTGGGAACAAGTCCTGGCCTTCCAGCCTTGGTCGCCTACTCAAGAAAACACATCAGTAATGTAATTTTTGAAAAAGAACACTGTAATCTCTCAATTTATTTCTTTCAAAAGAAATAGCCATACCTTATTACTTCATCAACACAACACTACTTGTAATGGGCCTCCCACGTGACACTACTTTATTGTTAAGTGCTCTTCAGTATAATATAGCATCAGAAAGCATTGGAATTACATTCAAAAATAAACAGGCCTATAGTGAGAAGGGAAAAGTATGTAATCAATGTTGGTTGAACAAGAACCTAAATAAATACCAAAGAATATGAACTAGTGTAAATAGTTGCCAAGATTTTCATGGCTTTTTTATGGTACAATGATGGATTGAACCCAGGATTTTCACACTGACCTACATCCCCAAGCCTTTTCAAAATCTATTTTGAATCAAGGTCTTGCAAGGTTCCTAAGCTACCCACACTGAGCTCAAACTTACCATCCTCCACCTCAGCTTCCCAGAGAGCTAGGATTATAGTAATGTATCTTCAGGATGTTTTAAAAAGAGCATTAATTTATTCATCAAATGTTATGTGCCTATAATATGCAGTGTTCTGCGCACCGGAGCTTGAGGAAACAAGGCCTTGAATCTGCATTACAAGGAAGGGCACGTAGACAATAAGCCTATAAAAACAAGGGATTATATGATAGAAATATGCTCCAAAGTGTTAAGTTTTGTTCTAATCCTTACCATTTCCCCCCTTGTATAAGCTTTTGTATTAGCCTGCTCTTCTTCTTTTAGACGTTTGAGATTCATGATTAAGTTATTTATTTGCACTTGCTCGGTTTCTTAATGTGGATATTCACTGCTATGAAGTTCCCTACTGGGACTGATTTCATTGTGTCCCATCAGTTCCAGTGTGTTGTACTGTCATTATCAATTATCAGTTTCTTCTTTGATTTCACCTGTGACCCAGATGGGTATTCAGGAGAGTGTTGTTTACTTTCCATGTCTTTATGAAGTTCTTGTGGGTTCTTTTGTGATTCGGTTCTAGTTTCACTGCACTGTGGTCTCATAACATGCATGGGATGGTTTCAATTGTTTTGCATTCACTTAGGCATCTTCAGTGAGGAAGTATGTATTCTACTTGGAGGGTGTCCTGCGTGCGGCTGAGAAGAATGTGTATCGC